CTGTGACAATATGTTGAGTGGAAAAATTGAGTTGTAGGAAAATATGTACAATATGATATAATTTGTGTTTTCTTTCATCACATAAAACTGTGCTTTTCCATCATATATTCATGTAAATGCATAGAATTTGGCCAATAAGGAAGAACATTCTGGCTGCTGATATATGACTGGTTTGGGGAAGATGGATGGAAAAGAGGACTTTGCTTGTTTAGATTTTTGTACAAAAGAGTATGGCTGGGATGAGATAGCAGAAACAGACTGATTTAGACTCTTTCAAAAGGAAGATACAATTTTAAAAGCAGTTTGATGAATGTGAAAGAGTCTGGTAGGTTGATGGGGTGTGGAGAGATAGAAAGCAGAAGGGTTGGCTTGAGAGAAGTCTCAAAACGAGTGATTTCATTGACATATATTCTCTGAAGTTCTCTTTCCTTCCAGACTTGTTCTTCCCATGTTTCAATGGGAATATGTTTTATGGGGGAAAGAAATTAAAAGAAGCCAGTGTTTCTGCTGATGCTGCCAGGGAGTGGGGATGTAGGATTGGCATTTCTAATAAGGAAAATCACTCTCATTGTCTCTATGAACAGAGGTCAGTAGTGGAAATCATTTTAAATAGTGAGCAAAAATGTCATTTTGCTTTTGCTTTCTAATACCCTTTATATATCCATCTGAATGTAATTGAATCTGTTGACCTGGAAGATCATAACTTTAAATTAAAATAATGAAGCCACAATATGAAAATTCTACAGTTTTCCTTCTCTCCCGCCTTCCTGTTTCCCTGTAGGTTCTAGAAAGCATTCACCTGCCAACACAACTTGATTTCAGCAGCCTTCTCTTAAAATTAATTATGTATACTCTCATCTTTTCAGTAAAGGGAGAGTTGACAAACGTTTTGGTTTGAGAGGCCTTTTCTTGGTAACTGAATCAAATTAGACACCAGGGCCTCAAAAATCCTAGACTTGGGTACAGGTGGAGCAAAGATAGAATGAGAAAAGATGGGCATTTGGGAATGTACAAGGATAATGCATTGTTGAACAGCAAAGAATTTACAAGTGGACAATTTCTAACATAGTAAATTATTTCATTGTGGCTAGATTAAACTTTTTAGAATTTCAGAAAATCTTTTTAAAAACCATCTGTGATTTCTACATAATCTTTACTTTTGATTGCCACTGGCAGGAATTTGATACCATTTTTCTTTGCTGATGTGCCCGGAATGAGTGGGACTTTCTACTCTTTGCAGGTTTGGGGTGGGTTTACTGACCAAGCAGGACACTTTAAGCCCATATATAACCCTAAATCAGAATGAGAGGCTGGGAAAGCTTGTTACGGCCCAATTAAAGGACAGCCTGAGAGGGTAGGCTTTACCTTTGCTGATCCTGTTGATTGTCTCCTCTGGGGATTAAAGACAAACCTTCCTTAACAAGCACATTGAGTAGCTTGGGTTTCCAAAACTCTCCAGGACCAGTAATTAATCCAACTGGTAATAAGAGCACAGTGCTGAATTCTGGAAAGACATCATTTAACTCTTTGTATACTGCATAGTTCATTTTCCCTTATTGATAGTCCCTTTTGCCTGAGCACTGTTTATTTGGGACAGTATAAAGTAACAGTCTGGTGGAAAATCATCCTTTTCAGGGAAGTCCTATCATCTCTATGCATTTAAAAGCAAAGAATGGTCTTCATCCCTCAAATGTACAGACTTGAAAAGTGAACTTTTATAGTAGAAAGTGCTTTTTACCTCTTGTTTTGATATGGGGGCAAATTACACAGTGGATAATTAGTAAAACATTAAAATCTGCCTGTGAGTTAGAACTTGTATACCAGCAGTTAAATTTCACTCTGGTCTCATCTTTTAACTTTTGATGGAGTTTTTGACTGTGGATGCAACCTTCTCCATATATTGTTTATCTTTCCTACTCTCTTCTTCCCAGGACTATGAGACATTTCCCATCCAGAGATTCCCAGCACATGGAACATCTCTGACAGGCTGCCTAGTTCTAGTTCTCTCTTCTTATTATGGTTACACTTGAGTCCCATTTTCTGATGATTTCTATTAGTAACTGCTTGTACACATTTTTTTTAAATGCCCCAAAATCCAATAGAACAAATCACCTAAATCATCTCTACATTGGAGTGTTTTGGTAACAGCTTCCTTCTTCAAGGCATTGAATTGACCTCAATGGTTACTTTTTTTTTTTTTAAGATTTCATTTATTTATTCATGAGAGACAGAGAGAGAGAAAGAGAGGCAAAGACACAGGCAGAGGGAGAAGCAGGCTCCATGCAGGGAGCCCGACGTGGGACTCGATCCCAGGTCTCCAGGATCAGGCCCTGGACCCAAGGCAGGCGCTAAACCCCTGAGCCACCTGGGCTGCCCACTTTTTGATTCTAGCATTCTCTGTCTTATCTTCAACCAGGTTTACACAGATACATATAAACTCACTCTTCTACCTCCTTCTGCCTTTTTCACTATGCCCACCTTGAAAAACTAAGGATAAATGTCTTCCTGTACATCACGGTGTGTTTAGTAGTAGAAAGCCATTTTAGAACATTGGCTTTTTCTCTGAATTTGAGTAAAGTGCTGCTGACTGGAATCATGATAGTGAAACTGCTGTTAATTCAATGCAGCTATGTGTATGTATGTCCCCATTATCTCTCATCCTTTGAGTTGACCCTATACACTTCTCATTATCATTTTGCAGTTGAGAACATTAAGATTCAGAGGGAGCCGGGGTTCTGAGCCAACTCTCTGAGTCCAGAGCTTATGTTCTTATTGACTGACTGACAGACAACAAGCTGACTCAGGAGGTAATGAAAGAGACATTTCACGAAGAATGTGGGATTTGCTGGGCAATAAGGAGCGAGTATTGGCATTAGAATGGTAGCTTGAGAATGTGGGGCTCTACTAGCAGAGACTAAGACTGAAAAGACAGGTGGTTGGAGAAAAGGCAGAGGAGGGTTTAAAGTGAGTAGGCTGGTACTGTGCCTACACTTCCCATAACCTGTGAGTCCTTGAAACCCAGTGAAAGCCTGATGTGAGAGAGCCTGAAAGTAAAACAGGATGGAAGGTATCCTCACCAGGTGCCAGGGTGACCCAGAGCTGAGGAATGTGGGAAATGATGCAAATGTGGTGGGGGATCCGAAGCTGAAAGTCATCAGAATTAGAGAATGTATGTGCTTCCAGGTGAGATTTGAGCAGACTCTTTCAGCCAAGTGTTTTTTGAGTTCTTTCTGAACACTGTAGTCTTATGTTGATTTAGAGCTGTTGAGCTTTATTTCATTATCACCAGACTCTGCTAGGTATGGATATAACTCTCCTTTTGGAGAGTGTTAATGGGATTAAAAGAAAAGAGAGACTTGTGAAAGTATGTGGTGTTGGTTTATTTTGCATCTGAAAAAGCCATTGTTTTTTTGTCCCTTGAGGAAATGCAAATATTGTGTGAGAGGAGGATTAAGCCTTTTCCTTCCCTCTGTATCTGAGGCAAGAAAAAGACACACTCCCAGGAAAGCAGGATAAAGGGGAAAATGACTTTGAGATGCACTTTCTTAAAATAACTGAAGGAGTGACCTCATGAGCCAGCTGATAGCCTGGGTTTGCAAATGGATACGTTTCTATTAGCCTGCTGCTTGATGCTGCAGAGCCAAATATATACGGAGTGTATTATATCATATCCTGTAAGCAGGAGACTGTCTGGGAGAGGCAGGTTTAGGGAGGTGAGATGGCAGGCTCAGCGCAAGGATTAATGATGGATATGCAGTCAACCAGAGCTCTTCTCATTAGGGAAGCTTTACTGTTTTGGGTTCATGATTCCCTATTATATTATAATTGATATCAGCTTCTGGTAAAATAATATTCAAATAAGAACAACCAATATTTCAATAGACTCTCGAATATAAAAGTGGTGTTGCACTCATTCTCTCATTAATACTTAAGCATTCCCATTTCTGTTTTATTCTTTTTTCTTTTATTGTTACAAGCCCATGTCCTTGGGTCTGACTCATTGCTAAAATTGTCTTCTCCTTTTGGTCTTAAGCTGTAGAGGCAGTGTGGACATGTCCTTAGTTAGAGGATGCTGCTTTTCTCCTGAGTGTTGCAGAGGTTAAAAGGAAAGCAGTAGGTCCAGGGAGGAACATTATAACTTGATAAACTGCTTCTCTTGCCAAAAATCATTGTCAGCAATTAAGAATATTCACAAAGTAAGCTCCCCTTCTCCTCCAACATACACACTCAGTGTGGTTCCTGTGCCAGGAGATAAAGAATGGCAGTTGTCTCTGGTTTAACACCTGTTTGGTCTGGATTCGATTTGTAAAATAGATCTGAATGAAGTACATAATGAGCGTAAGATCACATCTGCTTCACTCCATGTGTGTGTCAGACTCACAGACATTGGCCTAGCGTACCAGGAACTTTGGAAAAACTTTAGGGTTATTTCCCTTTTTATTAAGTAAAGCCTATTTCCCATTTGTAACCAACCACTTTCCTGAATGCTCTTATTGTTTATGGTAGTTTTTCATTGGATTCTCCAGGGTTTCGCAGATGCATAATCATATCCTCTACAAATAATGATGTTATCCTCACTTCTTATTTCTCTTATCTAATTGCCCTGGTTACTTCCTCCAGAACAGTGTTGAAAATGCATTGCTTTTGTTTGACACCTTAAATGCATGGGAAGCTGTAGAAGGGAAATGAGGGAAATAGCATCCATAGTATCTTAGGCAGAAATCAAACTTGGGGGCAGCTATTCTTGATCTTCTAGAAACAAGTCTATGAAACACAGCTTAGGGTATACCTTACCAACATATGTATAATTCTCAGCCACCCGTGGAACTATGGTAACCTGTGGAGAACAATGGGTTCTCATCAGTTACATCTTGGAATTCTCTGCGACCCTCCAGGAAGGCTCTCTGTTTTCTTATCTTAGAAATTCTAAGATAATAAAAGACATGGGCACATTGCAGATATTTTTCATGACCGCTGATGACCACACTCTTGTCTTCTAGGCCCAGCTTCGGGCATTTATTCCAGAGATGCTCAAGTACTCCACAGGTCGGGGGAAACCAGGCTGGGGCAAAGAAAGCTGCAAGCCCATCTGGTGGCCTGAAGATATCCCATGGGCAAATGTCCGGAGCGACGTCCGCACAGAAGAGCAAAAGCAGAGGGTGAGAGTTTCTCAGACCTGAGTAGTTTGTTGCTTTTCCACTCTGAATCAACTACAGTTTTGGAGGTTCCACATCTTATTATAAAAAGTCTAGAAACATATGTGTGAAAGTCAAACCTGTCTCCCAAAAGAAGCTTGATATTCTTTGATTTTAGTCGTTCTCATTCATCATTTCATCACTGTAAAGACTTGGGGTGAGTCCATGAATTTACACTTCTCTCTGCCTCGTTGCCTTTTGGAGCAGTTTTAATATTATGAGGTACTTGGAAAAACTGAAGAAACTTCAAGAAAAAAGTATCACTTTGAAGACTTAGAAATGTCCTTATTCCTGGTTAGTGAGAACCACTGTTGAAAAATATAGAATTAAAAAGATGTGAAGTTGACTAAGTCTGCTGATAATGACACTTATTTTTAAAAACATCGATTCAACTAGTTGTTATCCCTTGCTTTTTCTGCATATTTGTTTTTTAGTTAGCTTGGAAGTTTATTTAGAATCTTAATATATAATTTTTGACAAAAGAGTAACCTCCTTTTGTGAGAAGTTTGAGTTAGTCTCAGGTTAGAATGGGATATAAAACCCAACAGCTGAACCAGAGTTTGGTTAGGAAGGAGATGAGTGGGAAATCTTTGGTGTTTGATGCTGAGTTTCTCTGTGCCACAGTCGGTCTACAGGAAATAACCCTGAGGGAGCTTATTCTGTACAGTTTTAGTCTGGTTTGATAAATAAGCAACTGCTTATTCCATAGTGAGGCTGAATGGCCAACGTTCTTTGTGACTTTTTAATGTGCTTTTTTGGTCTTTTGGTGACAGGTTTCATGGACCCAGGCACTACGGACCATAGTTAAAAATTGTTATAAACAGCACGGGCGGGAGGACCTTTTGTATGCTTTCGAAGATCAGCAAACACAAACACAGGCCACAACCACACACAGTATAGCCCATCTTGTACCATCACAGACTGTAGTCCAGACCTTTAGTAACCCTGATGGCACTGTCTCACTTATCCAGGTGAGTAAACCTGTGGTTATCAGATTGTAGTTGCAAGGTGGATCAGTGGGCACTTCACTCCAGACTGAAGAGTTTTTGTCATTCAAACTCTTACTTAACTTTTCATAGCTCTCCAAGGTCTTTCTATCTGAAATTGATTTTTTTATAAAGATTTTATTTATTCATTAGAGAGAGAGAGAGGCAGAGACACAGGCAGAGGGAGAAGCAGGCTCCATGCAGGGAGCTCGACATGGGACTCGATCTCTGGTCCCCAGGATCACGCCCCGGGGTGAAGGTGGCACTAAACCACTGAGCCACACGGGCTGCCCTGAAATTTATTTTTGAATACTATTTTAAATTGTTTGCAATTTGTTAAATACAGTGCTATTGGTAGCTTTTTTTGGACATTTCCAAGACAAAGCACTAGAAAAATGGCTCCTTTTGTACCATTTGATTCTGTCAGGAACCTGAAGCTAGTCCTTCTGAATGACCTCTTCTGAGGTAAAACACAATTTGTTGGAGCCTCTAAAATTCAGATTGAGGTGAAAGTAGAAAGTCAGTTGGCTGATACTAGGTACTGGTGGTGAAACATGATAGCTTCTGATACTGATTTATTTGGTTGAAATAAAATTCTGAAACTCATGTAAGTATCTAAGATATGATTCATTTCACACTACAAAGCATGATAGTCATTATCTGTGCTGAATTTGGGATTAAATGAATCTTAATCTATGAGTAAAGGAGGTAGAAGAATCCACCACTGATGCTTATCACTTTCTGTGTTTTTCTTTAGGTTGGCACAGGGGCAACAGTAGCCACATTGGCTGATGCTTCAGAATTGCCAACCACAGTCACTGTTGCCCAAGTGAATTATTCAGCAGTGGCTGATGGAGAGGTAAGAAAGAGGATTTGGTCTGCATCTACTTAAATACTTAAATGTATAGGTGAGGGAGTAGTTAGGGTCCACAAGATAAAAAGACCAAGTAGCAACACATCTGTAGCATTATTTTATTTAAGCTTATTAAAACATCAGACCAAGATAGTTGCAAAGTATCTTATGCTGTGTATATTCATTGTCGTAATTGAAATTCATAGATCTCTATGATTCAGACCTGTCAGAAACTTAAAATTTTACATTTACAATATAGCATTTTATATAATACACAGTAAAAAAAAAGATTATCCACGTAATACTTTTATGCTGTAAACCTCAAAGATTTAATCATCAGGTTTTATTAAAACAATTAGATCATGAAGACTGGAACTGACTAAAGAATTCTTTGGAGGGACAAAAATATTTGTAAACCAGTAGATGTTTTACATTTTAAATATGCCTTTGAAAAGACTTAATGAGAAAATTGTTCTCTACCAAAATCAAGATAATTATGGAATGTTAACCTAAAGGTAGCTAACTTTAATTGAGTACTTGGTAAGCACTCAGCCCTGTTAAGAATGGGTTCTGTTATCATCTTCACTTTATAGATGAGAAAACTGAAACATGTAGAGGTTAGATGACTTGCCCAAAATCATGGACTAAGTGTTGAAGCTGAGGAATGCATTTAGAAAAATGTTGTCCAGGCTCTGAGCTCTGAGCCATCCGTGAAGTTCAGGAAAGGCTTCAGTAAGGCTCCATGGACTTTTCCCCCAAATGTACCAGTGTGGTATACCCCTGAAGTTTAAAAAAATAGCTAACAAATGTCAAAGAGCAGCATTAGAAATACAATTAAACATATTATCTCACCCTTGTTCACAACCATGGAGCATTCTTCTCAGAACAGCAGAAAGTCATTTTTGTTTGTGCAACTCAGGAAAGGGAGAGAGCTGAGAAAAGTCTCATGGCTAGTGAGATGAAGAGAAACACAGCCAGGCTCCCCAATCAGCAGCAGGAAGGGAGCCCCTGCCATGCTGCAATGATGCATTAGATGTGTGGAGTGGATTTACACGGGAAATCTGCTCTCAAGAAGCTCCTCCTGTCTGGTGGGGGAGAGGAGTGTACATAAATGAACTCTGGTCCATTCTGCAGGAGATGCTGCAAAGTGGTCTGTGCCTTCAGGAGAGAATGTTTCCAGCTAGGGAGTCTGAGAAGGTTTGGGAGGCAGGAGCAGCATTTGGTTTTGCAGTATAGAGAGGTAACAGTCAAGAGGATATTTACTTTTATAAGTATATAAATGTCACGCAGGAGTATGGATTAGCTGACAGAAAAATTCATTAGTCCTCAAACACTAGAACTGGGGGACACTCCTTGAAGTGTGAAAGAGATAGAAAAGACAGTGGTAGGTACATTCACGAGATTTGTTATTCTTTGACTTAATCAGTTATCAACCATATCTACCTACTGAATATTTACTGGTACTACTTAAAGAAAGCAACTCTGTGTTTCTTAAACACTTCCCTAGAGACTAATTTTTTGAAGCCCATTTTACTAAATAACTTCATGTGTATGGTGGTAATTAACATATTTAAAAGTTCACAGAAAAGTATGAAGTTTTTTTTTAAATCTCTGACTTATCTATGGCTTGTCATGTTTAAGGCATCTATTGTAGGAGTGGGTGAATGACAGAAAGAGCCAGCTGTTAAATACCCCAATTCAGTCAGATGGGGGAAAAAATGTAATTCTTTGCATACTTCCATTGAAACAAAAATGGTATAAAGAGAAGCAGCACAGGTTATCTCAGAAAGTAACAAAATGTTTTCGATTTCATAGTGTGATTTATTTGCCTTCTCATTTCTCCTAGATGTTGACATGGTTAGCATCTCAGTTTTGAGCTGTAAGAACTGGAATTACTCAAAATATCTCACTGCTTAGGGCAGATAAGACCACATCAAGTCAATGAAACATTGCATCAGATGACTCAGTAGAAACATCCTGTCTTGTAGTATTGATTAACAACCCTTAAACAATGTGAGAGTTAGGGGCACAGACCCCCATGCAGTCAAATTCACATATAACTTTTTGACTCCCTAAAAACTTAACTACTAATAGCCAAGTATTGACCAGAAGCCTTACTAATAACAACAGTCAACTAGCATAAGGAAAACATGTATATAGTACTATATCGATTGAAAAAAAAATCCTCTTATAAATGGACCCACACAGTTCAAACCTGTGTTGTTCAAGGGTTGACTGTATTTACAAAGAAACAAAAAAGAAACCTTAGGCAGCTTAAAACTAAGTAAGGACATAATAAATTGCATAGACATTTAGAAATGAACAAGGAAATAGGGGTGCCTGGCTGGCTCAGTGGGAAGAGCGTGCAACTGTTGCTCTCAGGATTGTGAGTTTGAGTCCCATGTTGGGTAAAGAGATTTCTTAAATAAATGAACAAATCTTAAAAAAAAAAAAAGAATCTTTTGGGGCACCTGGCTGGCTCAGTTGAAAGAGCATGTGACTCTTGACCTCAGGGTCATGAATTCAGGCCCCACATTGGGTGTGGAACCTACTTAAAAAAAGTGAACAAGGGAAGAATTTCAAAATAATTTGACATAAACTACATTGATTTCAAAATATTTATACAATTTCAGTTTTGATGGCGTATTTACCAATGCAAATGGATTTGAGAATTTATTCTGTTATGTAATAAGCCCACCAATTAGTAGTGGTGATATTAATTGCATTTAAGTGTCAGAAAAGTCAAGTTTTGGAATAGAATGGTATCTGATCATGATGGTATATATGGTTCTGTTAGAAGAAGAGGAAGAAGAAACCAAAGTACAAAGACATTGAAGACATGAATTTTAAGCTGAACCATCACCACATATAACAGTAGTATGATCTATTTCAGATGGTTTTTTAATGAATATCAGTTTATCTGAAATATAGGAAGGCTGAAGGAAAATATGAATGAATAAAGGAATATGTTCTCCATCCTGCCATTCAGTAAACACTTTCTGAGACCTGTGCCATTTACTATAGATTCTATAGATACAGGAAAATAAAGACTGCTCTTACTCTTAAGGAGCACACAGGTAGGTGGTAGAGAAAAACTCATCAAAGCACAATGGCAATGAGGTAAGGACTGAGTAGAAGCAAGCCCAGGGTACTGTGGAACACAGAGGAGAAGTCCTAAGCCTTGTACCATAGGGGAGTGGAGGGAGTTGTACAGGCTCCTTCAGGTTCACCTGAGCTCAACTAGAAGCAAAGGTGCAAGTTGTGTTCCTATCAAAGGGAACAGTACATGCAGTATATCGCACTGTCAAAGTGTGGAAGGGCCTCAGGTAGTTCAACTGTAGCTAGAGGGATAAGAGTAACCACAGTTTGAAGGGCCTCATTGGAGTGGGTCTCTCAGAAAAGCATCGATGCTAACTGTACATCCTCTGAATATCTTTCCCTCCTAGGGCTTGGGGCCCTTTCTCTGGGACATGGTGACATCCGGCATAGATAACCACACAGTGGCTCCCAACAGATGGAAAGGGAGAGCAACAAGAGCTCAAGCAAATACAACTAAAGCACTGAGACTGAAGAATAGGAAATTCCAAAGAAATGTTAACACCCAAGTGATTTATTTATCACCTGCCATTATTCTGAATAGAAATCTCTTCGTCTGCTTCTTCTTCCTACTTCCTCTCTACCCTTTGCCACCATCCATTAATCTTTCATGCCATATAATTTAACTCCCTTAAAATATACTATATATGGCAACTTTCTTATACCATTTTTGCTACAAATACAATTGTAACTAAATGTGTATACATGAAATTGCTGGCATTGGAATCTGAGTATTGGGAGAGCCTCACTAGGCCAGGCTCTGCAGTGGGATGGGCAAAAATCTAGAGGGGCAGAACTGGAAAGAGGAAGACTGTTTAATGGCAAAAGGTGACGGGGGCCAGCCAGCTTCAGCTGGTGTTTTGAGTGGAATCATAGACCATCTACAAATTGGCAGTAACTTGTCATTTAAAGTGACATTGTTTGCAGTGCCACTCACTGGAGTAATGAAATCAGAGAGATTAACTCTTGGGAAGCAAGAGTTTTATGAGTTCCTGAGTGAAGTTTGCAGTTCTAAGGGAAGGAAACGGGGTATCTCTGCCTCTTAGTGATGAGCCCTTAAGGCTTGTTGGCACAAGCCAACAATCCACTGCCTATGAGAACTCAGGGCAAATAGTAGGGTAGTTTGAAAGAATGTCCCATTTTCTGGGAGGCTTTTGACATGCATTCTGAGAAGCACTCTTATAGTCTAAGTATCATAATAGATCCAAAGCAGGAGGCATTTTAAATATCTCCCTCTCCTAGCTTGTGACACTTTCTTTGGGACACAGTTAACATGCAGTCACAAGCTCTCCACTCACCTGGCCCAAGCAGTGTGAATCAGGAGCAGGAAGAGCTCCAGTGAGCACACCTAACATCCTGAGACTGTAGAAATACTGTACCTGAGCAGATTGATTTATCACCTACCCTAATTTCAAATAGAAATTGTTTTCATTGCCTCTGCTTTTTGTTTTTGAGGGGGAGTGATTAATCAACTGTACTTATTGAGCACAATGGACTGAAATAGCTAGATAAAGGTATACGGGACTGAGAAATCTCTAAATGCAAAGCATTATTCTGAAAGCAGTGGTTCTCTGGGCACACACACCCCACCCCCACCCCAGGACTTTTGGTAATGTCTGGAGATGTTTTTGATTGTCCTGACTGGGGTGGGGGCCGTTAGCATGGGTAAAAGTCAGGATGCTGCTAAACATCCTACAATGCCCAGGACAGCCCCCCACAGCAAAGACTTGGCTGGCCTCAAATGTTAATAATGCCAATGCCAAGAAAACCCCTGTGCTTGATCTAACAAAACTAAATTCAAGTCTGTTCTCTCACCAAATAGAATTTTTTGTATGTTTTATTTTGTTTCTTCATAATTCTTCCCCACTAGAAGGAAAGCAGTTTTTGCTACATTAAAAAAAAAAATGTTTACTGAATTTGGCAGTTTCCATCAAAAACTAAAATATAAAATAACTTTTTTTTTATAAAATAACTTTAATATACAATCCCACCTCTGAGAATTTACTTCATAAAGAGACTCCCATGAAATATGCAATGTAGTATGTAAAGATACTCATCACAGTACTGTTTGTAATAGCAAAAGACTAGAAACTTCTTAAACGCCCATTAAAAGATGGCTGGTTAAATAAATCGCGGTGTGTTTATATGCTACAATGCTGTGCAGCCATCATTATGAGTCATGAATGAATGAATGAAGCTATTTTATACATTGCAAAATAGAATCACCTCAGATGTGTTGTTGATGAAACAAGCAAGTCACAAAAAGATAACGTAGAATAAGCTGCCATTTTTATTTTTTTAAGAGGAAGTAGAAAGGGAGAAGTAGGAGGGAATATGTGTGTAAATATGCTTGCATATAGAGAGAATATCCCTGCAAAAACACACAAGAAATAGGTAACAGTAGTCACTTCTGGGCAAAAGGTCGGGAGTACTGGCATTACATACTCTTTGGTATCATTTGAATTTTTTTAGAATTATATTTATGATCTATTCAAAAGTCATAACTTTTGAGTTTTTTATGGTTCCAAAATTTTTAATCTGACCCATATTAATGTGTTACCTGTTCAAAAGAATTCAAAAGAATAGGTAATACATTGATAGGGCTCATATATTTCAAAAATTATTTAAAAGTACACATTGGAAAATCTTGCTTTCTGTCTCCTCTCCAACCTACTCCCACAATTCCTGTCCCCCTACACACACTGAGGAAAAGATTTTCAGTGGTTTCTTTTGTGCCCTTCCAGAATTTCTTTATGCAAATATAAGCAAATTCAAATATATTTTCTAATACCTCCTTTTTTATATACAAAAGATAGCATACTAAAAACCCTGTTCTGTACATTATAGGTCATGTTAATTTAAAAATGTGTATGTATTTGGCTGAGCACATAGCAATTTATTATAAACCTTTTGTGACTTTGATTCTTTACTATCATGTCCTTTCTGCCTCAGGTGGAACAAAATTGGGCCACGTTACAGGGAGGTGAGATGACCATCCAGACAACGCAAGCATCCGAGGCCACCCAGGCGGTGGCATCATTGGCAGAGGCCGCAGTGGCAGCTTCTCAGGAGATGCAACAGGGAGCTACAGTCACCATGGCTCTCAACAGGTGGAAGCAGGGCTGGGAGAATCAATGAGGATGGTGAATCTGTCCCTACCTACGGGTTGTCAAGAAAAATGTTGTACCTCTGTCTGTCACAGTTGGCAGTTGGAGCTTAACGCTCTTAGCCCATGGCTAACTACATAGCCATATTGTAATTTGGCTCATAATCGTCCTCATTCACCCCATTACTACCCCACCCCACCCAAGTCCAGCCTTCTGACTTCCAGCTCAAGCCTGCTGATCAAGGGACACATCGATTTGGCTTCATCCTATCTTGTGCCCTTTATCAGACCAAAAGCAGCAAGGTTTGAGTAGTACGTGTTTTTAAAGGGACCAAAGGATATGATAAAGCAAGAAGCTTCAGGATTGATATTCCGTCTACCCCACAAAATAAATTGTGTTTAGTCATACTTTCACTCATCCAAAAGAAACCACTTTTTGTTAGGGGCTTTTAATCCATGTTTTGGCTGGTTGAGAGCTGATTTTACTGACTTTTCAGGAAACTTGTTTCCTTTGCTTATCAATGATTTTGAAATAAGTTTTAGACTATTCAGGAAAAACAGACTATTAGGAAATATTTTTCTTCAGGCATGTTTAGGAAGGGTGCTGCAGAATAGGATACCCCAGTGAAAGATAGTTTCCAAAACTAAATTATATTGTTCCTGCTTGGTTCCTTCTGTTGGTTAATGGAAGAGATTATCCCCATACTATTCTTTTTTTTCTTTATTGCTGACATAATTTTATTTTCAGTGGACCTAGGCATTTTACCTAATAGTTAAAAGAGTGTGGGTCTTAAAGCTAGACTATCTGGGTTTACATTGCAGCTCTGTCACCTAACTAGCTGTTTGACCTTGGGATATTTACTTGGACTTAGTGCCCAGGTTTTCTTCTTCTGTAAAACAGGGGTAATAACAGTAACTACCATGCAGAGGTGTCATGAGAACTGAGAAAGCCACTGCATGTGAGATCCTTAGATCAGTGCCTGGCATATGGTAAGGCTGCTGTCTCCATGATGTATAACAGCTGTTAGCCTCAGATAGTCACTGAAGTCTTCTGACATGCCAGCACTCTACTAGGTAAGGTTTTAAGTAAGGAGTGCTCTAAGATACAATGTCTGCCCTCAAAGAAGTCATACTGTTATCTTTGGGGAAATTGATTTAAGTAAAACACTCAGTGAACACCATTACTAAGGGTAATTCACTGTTGAATTGTGTAGCACAGACCATGAACATTGTAGAAATTCAGAGGAAGGGGATCACCTTCCCTCTTACTTTGGAGAAATTAAGTTGGCCCAACTCTACTCCTTCCTTTCAGAGAGGATGCATAGATAAACTTCCTAAAAGTCACAGCCAGAGTGAGAACCTCCCTCTGGTTTGGTAACCCCTTACTGTAGCATGGAGCCTAACAGGCCACAGTTAAAGACCAGCAAAACTTGGATTCATTGAGCCAGCACCTTGGATATTCCAATGAAGTGTGAGTGTCCTGGGAACCCTATACATAGTGGAAAATATGAGGCACATTCTGGCTCCCGTTAGTGTAAGGACCAAGGCTTATTTCTAAAGGCAAGGAGAGTAATGGTTTCCCCTGAGGGCTTGTTAACAAACTCAGATGCAGCTGAGGTGGCTATAGTGTTTACTCCAAAGGAGGGAGAATGTGGTTCACTGTGGCATGGAGGAGGAGTAGAGATGTTGAAATCTGTTTGCAATCAGAGAGTCCCCCATCCCCACCCCATGAGTGTTGGGGGATGGTGTGTTGCAGCCTCTACTAGGGGTGAAAAATCAAGCCTGGCAGCCAAGACCAGACTATGGCAGGTTACTAGGGGTTTTCTGATTCCAAGAGAGGTCACTCACTGCCTAATGCCAGGAGGTTTGGACTTCAGACGCAAACCCCTGGTGTTTGCTTCTTTATGGAATAAGACAATACTCCCAGCCTTTCTGCAGAATTTGTTGCTAGAAGTCATCTTAGTGAAAACTACCCTGAGAAATCTGGGTTTGTTCCCATGGTAACAAAGCGATTTCATAGAGCTGCTTCCTTCTAGCCTGTTTCAGGTGCAGATGGAACAAGCATGGTTCTTTAAAAATCACCTGCCCCTCTTCTATGCTGTAAACAGCAGATGTGGGCACAGAGTGAGGAGAGGCGAGCTGCATGATGTGGCAGGTGGGGAATAAGCAGGTAGAGGGGCTCCTTCATCTGCTGGAGGGGAAAGGGGGGTCAGGACAGATGCAGGACAGACCTGTTTTTCAACCACGCTGTTAAAAGAGTTTTGTTGAGCAAGTCAGAACAAGGGCCCTGAGCTCAAACAGCCTTCAGCCCACCCTGGCATTATAAATAAACCAAAGAGGGTATGGAGAAATTATCATTTAAAAAATGTGAAAACTGGGATCCCTGGGTGGCGCAGCGGTTTGGCGCCTGCCTTTGGCCCAGGGCGCGATCCTGGAGACCCGGGATCAAATCCCGCATCGGGCTCCTGGTGCATGGAGCCTGCTTCTCCCTCTGCCTGTGTCTCTGCCTCTTTCTCTCTCTCTCTCTCTCTGTGACTATCATGAATAAATAAATTAATTAATTAAAAAAATAAAAAATGTGAAAACTAGTTAATTTTAATTCTTTTCAAAATACATAATAAATCAGCACTCTGAGGAAGGAGACAAGGAGAGAATCAAAATGAACAAATGAAGCACAGCACATTACAGCTCAAAAAACCTCAACATACAAAAATATTCAGCTGAACAACCAGAGGGCAAAGGAAGTGAAATCATCATTTATATTGCTGCTTAAACAAGTCCGTTTAAGTCAGTATGACCCTAAGGTGCCTGGCTCACTCAGTCAGTAGAGCATGCATCTCTTCATCTCAGGGTCGTGAGAGTTCAAGGCCCACACTGGGCTGTACTGACTTTAAATCTTTTTTTTTTTTTTTTAAGTCAGTACAGCCCTTGCAAATACAGATGCATGGTAAGTATTTATAGACTGAGTCTATGTTTGCCCTAGTAGAAATTTACACTATGTTGTAGACACCGAGACAATTTTTACTTGTGTGTCTACGGTGTATAGGGTTACAACTCGGTGCTATGGGGAAGCAAAGGCAAGGAACTCAGAGTTGCCGTTCTTATGCTGTGAAGACACTTGGCTTAAAAAAATAAGTGAATTAAAAAAAAATAAGTGAAAAAAAAATAAGTGAATTGTATTTTTTTTTTTAAGTTTTATTTATTTATTTGAGAGAGAGAGCATGAGCAGGGAGGAGCAGCAGAGGGAGAGGGAGAAGCAGACTCTCCGCTGAGCAGGGAAGCCCAGTTGCAGGGCTCAATCCCAGGACCTTGGGATCATGACCTAAGCCGAAAGCAGATGTTTAACCAACTGAGCCACCCAGGTGCCCCAAAGTGAATCTTACTTTTAAAGAAAAATTTACTGTTGTTTTTTTTTTTTTTAATGAAAGTACTATTGACTTAAAATTAGAGACATTGTTAAATTAAAATATGGCTTTAACGTAGGGACTGGTACTTGTCTAATAAAATGGGATGGACAACCTAGATTAGAAATCCTCTTTGGAGATGGAAGGCAGGGACAGCACAGCTGCTGCTTTCTCATGGGGATAAAGGTTGGACATTTGTAGTTAAGAAGCTGACGAAAACTCATTTGTAACTCTGGTTTAGAAATTTACTTTTGTCAAAAACTTGTGAAGCAGTAGCTTAGAGACTTTTTCATCCCTCTTCACCTTGTAAGTAAAGGGTATCTTTTCCTAACAGTTTGCTCCCTCCCCATGACATCTAGAGTCAGTGGTCAAAGTAGATTTAGAAACGAAGACCGGTTGACCACTGGAGTCACCACTGCCTTTAGATCCCCTATGGGGAAAGATCCTCCACTGCTTTGCCTGTGGCCCCTGACAGGGGATGAAATAACTAACCTCACCAGCCTGTGAGCTCATCATCCCCCTCAAACCTCTGGTCCTAGATTGCACTGGCTTGTGCAGGTTTACATCCTTTCTTCTAACTAAATGTATTTTAGAAAGGTTATTCAAGAAAATGACTTCAAGTATGTAGAGCTTCAGATGTAACAAAATAGTTGTGGTTGGGTACAGGTGCACTTCCACATCAAGGTAGCTGTCTTCCCTTCACCGTCTGTAAAATTCCACACTGAAAGCATGTGCCAGGGGTTCCATGTGGCAGGATATCATCTTTGATGGTCACAGAAATAAGATTCTACAAATTGTGATTAAAAACTGTAGGGAATGAAACTGTCGCTTAAGTAACCTGTAAACACAGACCGTATTTACATATAAACAATCCTCATTTACAGCTTCCTTCTCCAAAATACCACACTGCTGCAGCTTTTCTCAAAGAATAGACTTTTCAACTTACCATAAAGTCTCAGGCCAGAGTGTGAAATATTTTTGTCATGAATCAGTGACAGCTGGATACTGTCATTTATTTGACATAATTTTTTTAGAAAACTATTAAAGATTAAAGATCTAGACACTAAATGATCATTAATTTTACTATTTCTAATAAAGACTTTTGAAAGACTTTAAAATTAAACTCTACCATGTAAAATGTAAAGAATAGCCTTCGTAGTAATTCTAGATCAAAGGCCCCTTTAGTTCTAAATTCATGTTACAGATACCGTGCAATGACTAGCTGTGGGCATCAGATCACCAAGAAGTGTGTCTCAGCATGGAGGGTGATCATAGCTCTTTTCTGTCCGTTGGGTTTCTTTTAATGCTTCCTGGAATCCTTACATTCCCCCAGGGAAATGATTATGTCAGTTGCTTTACTTATCTGCTGACCTTCTTAAATGAAAGTGACACTATTGAGTGTGGTACATGTTGCTTTGCCTACGGTCAGGACATGTCTACCGTAACCAGTCCACAGCCCCTTACCCAATCCCACCTACAGCTTGTGACAGCGAGGTGTGCCTGCCAAGTTAGTGTCTGCAGCTTCAAAGCAAAACTGAATCAGCTGGCTTGTATTCAGTGTCAAACCCAGGACTTTGCCCACCTCTGCACAACTGAATGACACCACCTTCTCTACTCCATGACCTCGTTTGATACTCCTTCAGTAACTGTGCAAAGTGGGAGCTGATTCGTTCCCGGGAGAAGTACCAAATTTGTGCTTCTTTCACATTTTAATATCTCTGAAATTTGGATAGAAAATTTGTAGTTATTGGATACAATACTGCAAATTATCAGGCATTTTTCTTTTTCTTGCTGGCACATATCTGGCACAGATAATGGTGCATTTTCTACTTTGTAGCAACCTAGAATCAATAAAAATGGGTACTTGTGCACTTGGGAAAAGCATGTTGCAAGGAAAAGAAAAAAATAGGATACAAACTGCTAGGATAGTGCTCACTGTAAACAGATGGTTAATATCTTTCTATTCTATAAAGTGTTTGCAGTGAAGGGAGATTTATTGTTTCATTGTTGTTTCTAGAGGCTAGGAGTTTGAGCTTACCCTGATCACGATCATTTAAAATTTCAAGCCTTAATTTAGCACTACCCACATATACCCTGAGGCAAAGAAAAGAGCTTGACTTTGCAGGGTATTAGGGTCTTGGTCAGCCATTACTTGTATTTGAAGTCATGGATATAAACTACATTGTTATTATTTAATATTAATTGAATAGCAAGTCTAGGTTGTTGACTCCTCATGTTATCATCTATCCTCCGCTACAAAAGGTCAGTTTTAGATAATCTGCCTACTGTTACCATAAAGAGAAGAGAGAAGGGAATCCCTGGGTGGCTCAACGGTTTAGCACCTGTCTTTAGCCCAGGGCATGATCCTGGAGTCCCAGGATTGAGTCCCATGTCGGGCTCCCTGCATGGAGCATGATTCTCCCTCTGCTGTGTCTCTACCTCTCTCTTTCTGTGTCTCTCATGAATAAATAAATAGAATCTTAAAAAAAAAAAAAAAAAAAGAATAAGAAAACCTGTGATTGCCAACCAGAAAGGGTTTTTTTGCATTGTCAGTATGGATCAAAGCTTCCACTCTGGCTGATAAACACTCAACCAATATTGATAAAGAGAAGACTGGTTATGAGTGCCTTCTGTCCTCAAACACCCATTTCTTAGATTTAAAGAAAATCTCACATTAGCTTTATAAATCAATAAGACTTGGGTTTTCTCTAGCTATTTACTGTTACCATTTAAAAATTACTCTGGTTCTGGGACACCTGGGTGGCTCAGTGGTTAAGCATCTGCCTTCAGCTCATAGAGTGGTCCCTTAACCCCCAGGGTCCCACATCAGACTTCTTGCAGGGAGCCTGCTTCTTCCTCTGCCTAGTTTCTGCCTCTCTCTGTGTCTTTCATGAATAAATAAATAAACTCTTTTAAAAATAAAATAAAAATTACTCTGGTTCTATCCAGCAGCACTGGACTTATGTATTCACTGGTAGGCTCATTCCCATGGAGCAAGTAGGGAGATCCAAGGACGGGTTAGAAGGGTGGTTTGTCTGGCTTCAGTGCTGTACCTTTATTCATCTTACCCACCCCCTCTGCTGTTCCTGTGCCCACAGTGAAGCCGCTGCCCATGCTGTCGCCACACTGGCCGAGGCCACCTTGCAAGGGGGGGGACAGATCGTCCTGTCTGGGGAAACCGCAGCAGCTGTCGGAGCACTTACTGGAGTCCAAGATGCTAATGGTAAGAGAGCATAAATATTTTATTGAATATCTTCCCTGTTTCCACTTAAACCTTCATGACATGACTGACAGCAGGCCCTTCAGAAAGAGATCGAGCTTTGTTTTGAGTTTTTCTTTATTGATAGGCAATAGATGCCTAGCAAAATTCTAGGAGCCTGATTCCTTTCACTAGTAGGAGACTTGGGGTTTGCTGGAAGGAAATGCCATGAAAATGGCTAACTGAATTGTTTATTTGAAAAATATTTTGCTGTGATAGAACTGAGAGGTACTTTAAAATTTGCTATGGGGCACATTTTGTCCTTTACTCTCCCCTGGGGGTAGATCAAAGGACCTGGGGGTCTTTTGCTATAGCAGAGACCCTCCTATGGGCGAGTGCATTGTGGTAAGTTAGTATGTTCTATCTCAAGAAAGGCACCACCATCTCACACAGGGTAAGCCAGCAAGCTGTGATGAAGGCATTTTTCTGATTGGTGCCATGAGTCCACCTCTTGTTGAATGTGGCCTCACCAAGGACCTCTGGATTTAGCCAATCCATGCCACCACCCTGCCCTTCTTTCCCAGCTCTTTGACTTACTGAATATTACTGATTTCCCGAATAAAGAAAAGGGATAATGTTTGTGGAAATATGGTGGCAAAAATTTATAACTCTAGCCCAGTTCTTTGGATCCACTTCAGCAGGCTCTGGAAGTCAGTTACCAAGACTTGGGCTGCCGGGGGAAGTGCCTCAGAAGTCTGGGTCAAAGAGAAGGACCAGCCCCGTTCTGTGACACTCTGTGATTATTTATTAAACTATATGTGGTGTGTGTGTGTGTGTGTGTGTGTGTGTGTGTGTGTGTGTGTGTATTAGGTTAAGTAGGACAAAATTAGGTTAAGCAGGGCAAATGAATTAGTCCATGATTTTTGGAGATTTCTTTTTAGTCTTGAAAAGAGAATAAATAATAACATATTCTTATTTAGACAGAAAGTTCCTTAATGACATCAGTGGCTAAAAGAAAATTTCCTGGCCCTTTTTAAAGGATGGGTACCTTATAAGTGAATAAAGTCAATTGGAAAAGTCTTTGAAGAAGACTGTATCCTCCTTTGGAAGAGAGAAGAGGAAAGTACATGTGTCTATCACCCAGAAAGAAAATAATATAGGAAATGTGAAGAGCCCCTGTGACTCCTGAGAATCATTTTCTTAAACAAAAATCAAATACTACAACTACACCCTGCTTTTTCTGTAGGGTTAGAGGCTTCCATGAACTAACCCTAACAGAGATAGACTTGATTTTAGCCAGAACATTGCAAGTTAAAGGGCATGAAATGGACCATAGGTAGACTTAAGGAAAACCTCCCTCTTTAGCTAGAATCCTATCCCTACTTCCTTACTTTATGCTATTCCTCTTCTGAGTCCTAATCTACCTTGAACAGATAGAATATCTGGCTCTGTGACATTCTTTTGAAGCACAGATTGCTGTTATTCACCATAGAACTGCCACAAATACTTCTTTGCCTGGGTCTGATAGGAGAATGTTCTCCCTTCTAATGGTCTTGACCTGTCTGGGCTAGGAGAATAGACAGCTTTCTAGTTCTGGCTCCTTCTCAGATGAATTTATAAATAAGTATAAGGACCCTGGTGGTCTCTGGCCAAGTAGACCCATTCAGCTACACAGTAAAGCTGAACCACACCCACTACCGTTGAATCCTGGAAACTGCCTCGTTTCAGTAACCTTGGGGTATATGAATCAGTTGTGTTGATTTCATGTAGTTGGCTGTGTTGGTGGTAAGAGAAAATTCTGGTCTACATCCTAAAAGCCAGTGGTTCCCAAAGAAGGCCATCCCCAGTTTGTGACTGCCAACGCGTGCTGAACTACAACGTGGGAGTTAGAGTTAGCACATTTTCAGCACAGCTTTCCACATCAAACCAGGATATCGAGGTGCACCTTACCCCAGCAATTTTAGGGGAAGGCCAATCATTTCATTTCTCCCTTGGAAATCCAGAAAATGAATCAAATATTGAATATGATCCAAATAATTCTGATGTTCCTTCTGCCTTCTGTCTTAGACATTTTACCCAGAATGCTATAGAGTTTACTGTGGGACAGGAACCATATTTTTCCCATGTAAATAGATGATTAGTATCTGGATAGACTTTCAGGGATTCTCTTTTTATTATTCTTTCAGATTGTGTCCTATTGCCAAAGCTTGTCCCTTCTGTGATGACAGCCTTATGATGTCTGCCAGTAGACCAAGTTTATTATCAGGAAGAGTTCTATCAGGAAGATCCAGATGGTAGGAGAACTAGGTGCTATTTAGAACACCACTAATAGGGAAAAGGAAATACATCCGATTCCAGAGTATGATTTAAATAAAAATCCTCCTAGCAGACTTTCTAGGAGCAATCTGGATATTGCTTAGGCCTGAGGCAGAGGGAGTTTTTGTGTCTTCTGGGATGGAGAACCATTGTGTGTAGAGCTTGATGGAGTATGGAAACTGGTGAAAGATGTCCAGGCAGCAATGATATGATATGAAGCAGTGTCCTGTAGGACAGTAGTTTTCAAGATAATGACCCATGTATATGTGCAAGTTTAATTTCTGGGTCACCAAGGGAGGTTGGACAAAGACCTTGCACCCTGAAGATGGCACCCTGGGACTTTGCCCCACCCCAGAACTAAGGGAACTGCTCAGGCATTAGTATTACTTTATTTCATTTATGCTCTCCCTTTTTTGATAGCGTTACTAAATGGGTCTTTGGTCTCTTTAAGATGGAATTTTATGGTTTGGGTCGATGGAAAGTTTTTTATAGGTGTCTTCTTTTCATTGAAGTGCAGGTAGAATTGCCTAAGACTGGGGAAGGCCTGTCCATGAGTGCCTTCCTTTCGTCTTCTCTTGTCTGTCCTTTCCTTTCCTTACCCCTTTCCTTTCTTTTCTCCTTTCCTTTCCTTTCCCTCATAGTCATTCCTTGTGCCCCCTTCCCCGCAACGCCTTAATATAAAAGGTTGTGCAATCTGTAAAGGCAAGCCTACACAAGGATAAAGGGACTCTGTGACTCATAGTCACCTCTCACTTGATCTTGCCACCCATGGTTAGCAGTCTTTGGGCAACCAGCCCTACACATCTTTTTTTCTTCCATCCTATTTCAGTAAAAATAATTAAAAATAGGAACTATATTAACCTTTGGCCACTTCTTTTGAGGTGCTGTTATGTTTGAGATCATATTGCATATTCATGGAGCTGTCTTTTATTCCTAAAAGCTAGATAGGGCAGGGGGGTGGGGCGGTTACTGAACAGATACTTCATAGTTAATCAATACAGATAATGGGAATCATCTGCTTCAACTGTCGTCCCATTAAGCCTCTTACCAGAGCTGCTAAGAAAGTATCCTATATTAAAGATATAACCCCTTAATTTTTTTAAAGATCTTATTTATTTATTTGAGAGAGAGCAAGCAAGAGAGAGAGAGAGAGCAGGTGCACAGCCAGAGGAGAGGCAGAGGGAGAGGCAAAGAGAGAGCGAGAAGTAGATTCCTGTGCTCATCAGGGAGCTGATATGGGGTCTATCCCAGGACCCTGGGATCATGACCTGAGCCAAAGGCGGATGCTTAACTGACTGAGCCACCCAGGCACCCCAAAATATAACATCTTTAATTATATATGTTGCAAAGTTTTTTTTTCTCCAGTTTATTTTTGTCTTTTGCCTTTACATTTACTTAGGTCCCAGATCAGATACATATATATATGCTTCTGTGGTCTCATTTTTTATTTTAAATACTATAAAATATCTACAGTTTATTTTGGAATATGGCATTAAGTGGGAATCTGAATTGATTTTTCCCCCTACATAATCCATTCCAGTACCATTTATTCAATAAAAAGATTGAAATCCATCTTTTCTCAACTGATTTGAAATGTCATTTTTATCATATGCAGAATTCTTTTTTCTTTTTTTTAGTTTTTTATTTTAATTCCAGTGTAGTTAACATAGTGTTTTTTAGTCTCAGATGTACGATGTACAGATTCAACAATTCTGTACTTTACTGAGCGCCCATCATGATAAGTGTACACTTAATCCCCTTCACCTATTTCACCCCTCCCCACCTCCTCTCTGGTAACCATCATTTTGCTCTCCATAGTTAAGAGTCTGTTTCTTAGTTTGTCTCTCCTTTTTTCCCCTTTATTTTTTTATTTTATTATTTTTTCTTTACATTCCATGCCCAACATGAGGCTGGAACTCACAACCCTGAGATCAGGAGTTGCAAGCACTACTGGGCATCCTGCTTTTATTTCCCTTTATTCATTTCTTTTTTTCTTAAATTCCACATGAGTGAAATCATATGGTATTTGTCTTCCTTCCTTCCTTATTTCCCTTAGCATTATAATCTCTGGTTCTATCCATGTTGTTGCAAATGGCAAGATTTCATTCTTTTTTTTTTATGACTGAATAATATCCCACCTCTTCTTTATCTTTTCATCTATTGGATGCTTGAGCTGCTACCATAATTTGGCTATTGTAAATAATGTTGCTATAAACATCGGGATGCATGTATCCCTTTGAATTAGTGCTTTTGTATCCTTTGGGTAAATACCCAGTAGTAGTACAATTACTGGATCCTAGAGCAGTTCTATTTTTAACTTTTTAGGGGCCTCCATACTTTCTTCCATAGTGGCTGCACCAGTTTGCATTTGTTGTTGCAACAACACTTGTTGTTTCTTGTGCTTTCGGTTTTAGCCATTCTGACCAGTGTGAGGTGGTATTTCACCGTAGTTTTGATGTGCATTTCCCTGGTAATGAGTGATGTTGAGCATCTTTTCATGTGTCTGTTGGCCATTTGTATGTCTTCTTTGGAGAAATGTCTGTTCATGTCTTCTGCCCACTTTTTAACTGGGTTGTTTGTTTTTTGGGTATTCACTTTTATAAGTTTATAAAAAACTTATATTTTGAATACTAACCCTTTATTGGATATGTCATTTGCAAATATCTTCTCCCATTCAGTAGATTGTCTTTTAGTTTTGTTGTTTCCTT